CCTTAAGAAAACGTCATATGGTACTGGGTTTAGCATGCATGATGACAGATAAATTAAGTAATTTAGAGTCTATTTTGACAATTCAGTAGTTATAGTGAAAATAAATAAATAAATAAATGTTCGATCAGTGCGTGATCAAACTTTATTTCATTTTCTTGAACAAACTTGTATTTCTTGGACAAATTTGTATTTATTAAACAAACTTGCATTTCTTGAACAAACTTGTATTTCTTAAATAAACTTGTATTTAATAAATATCGGCATCGTGCATTATAAAGTGTGGTATACGAATAAAAAAAGCCGATAATAAAGGAATGAAGTAAAGCTTTGTGGATAAACGTGGCGAGTGCGAAAATTGTAAACAGCAAGCATTTGGTGGACTCTTAGTAACGGATATTAATTAATTCACATTACCTCTGTTCTTTCACAATGCCCAAGTGCTTTTGTTCAAAATGTCACCCGATAGGTGGTAAACTTTTATCATGGAGAACTTGGCGGCAACACCAAAAGGAAAATCCACATCACACATTTTCCGTCCCAATACATTCGCTATCTAACCAGCATCGGCCTATTTTAGCTTCAACGAATCAAAAACCTATAGTATTCAATTCACAAAATTCTGATTCAGATTTAAATAATAAATGGGAAAATGAAACGGATCAATTTGATAATGAGAATGAAATGGATTATTTCGATGATGAAAATGAACTGGATTATTCCGATAATGCACAGACAGATAAATTTGAAAAAAATAACACAAATACAGCAGAGCCATCTTTGCATACGGAGATAATAGAAAATATCACACTGTTTCAAGAATGTAGTAAGGTAATTAAAAGTAATTCTACTTTTCAAATGTTTATAAAAACTTTTCAGTCTAATTAATATACACTATATAAATAAATAGTCGGCAACAAATAGTTTATCTCATAAATTGAAAAGATTGCCATTAGTACAACTAGATAATTTGCAGAGTGAATACGATAGCAATTCAAGTCAAAATGAAGATAATCATTCAAGTCAAAGCGAAGATAATAATTCTGATCAAAGTGAACGTGATATCAATCAAGACATTGAAGAAGATATTAATGAAGAAACTGATATCGATGAAGAAACTGATATCGATGATGATATAAATATGCCATTATCACCATTATTGAATGTTCATTATTCGAAGTTATATGATACCTCTTTGGAACCATCGTATAATCCAGTACAATGTTTATACAATCCTCCACTTTTGAAAGAAAATTACGTGATACAATGGATTGTTATTTGGTTATTCTTATTTCAGCGATCATTCATGATTACCAAAACTGGAATTATGACTTTAATTATCTTTTTCAGTCAAGTATTAACATTCTTAGACATATTTCAATTTCAAAATTTTCCAAAAAGCCAGCATTATGTCGAAAAAATTATTGCGCAACCCGATTCTATTCTCAAATATACAGTATGTTTACATTGCCATTCTCTATATTTGCCCACAGAATTGCCTTTGAAAACTTCAGAACATACAAAATGTCTTACATGTGGAAAAATATTAACGAAAGTTATTAGAAAATCAGGAGGAAAACTTAAGTACAAAGTTAAGTTATTTGGTTTAAAGGTTTTTTAATAATCAAAACCTAACACTTAATTTTTATATTAGCCTTTAGTAATTTATCCTTACCAATCCATTATTACAAGAATTTCATCAATATTAGCAGATGAATCAAATGAACAATTAATGGATTCACCATTTAAACGGCAAGTTGGAGAGGGCGTATTAGGTGATATCTATGACGGAAAAGTTTGGAAAGAATTTTTAGATGATCATGGATATCCATTTTTCATAAAAGATAAAGCTGATGTTCGAGTTGGACTAGCCCTTAATGTTGATTGGTATACTCCATATAGTCAAGTTAAACGAAGTTGTGCACCAATATATTTGACGATTCTTAATTTTCCAAGACACATCAGATATCGAAATGAAAATCTTATTCTTGTTGGTATTATTCCCGGCCCAAAAGAACCAGATACAAGTCAATTACAGAATTATCTTCAGCCGATGGTTAATGAACTAAAGCAGCTTTGGAGTGGACAGCTATTCAAAACTACTCGATATCCCATTGGACGTATGTTTCGTTGTGCATTGATCCAAATTGTATGCGATATACCAGCTGCACGTAAGGTATATATTATAATAATAATGTATATGTACATATGACTCATAATAATAATGTTTTATAATTATTTGACAAAAGCAAAACTTAGTTGGTTCTTAATTATTCACTGTTATTTATATAGGTTACAGGATTAGCTCCACATTCTTCAAAACACGCATGCTAAAGT